CAATAAAACAAGAACCTGGTTTTCACTCACGAGCAACACGTATAACCTGATTGCCCACATTTTTACCCGAAAACAAGCCAACAAACGCAGAATGCCCGCTCTCCAACCCTTCATTCATGTCCTCTAAGTACGTTATCTTCCCTTGCTTGTAAAGACCCGTAACATCCTAAAAAATCCTTGAGAACAAATGCTTTACTTTTGGAGAAAGCCCTGCATTCGCACGCGCTTTGATACAAGGCTGAACAAGTTTTTGATCCCTTGTGGATCGTATGTCCTGTGTTGGGAGACCATTCCACATACGGCTATGCGGCCGTGAAGCCTCATGTTGAGTAGCACGGCCTCGAGCATGGGCCCACCCACATTTTCAAAGTATATGTCGATTCCTTGTGGAAAACATCTTTTGAGAGCTGCATCAAGATCAGGTTCCTCTCTGTAGTTGAAAGCATCATCAAATCCAAGCTTATCCTTGAGGAGATCCACTTTCTGACTGGTCCCTGCACTTCCAACCACATAGCACCCGTGTAACTTAGCTAGCTGGCCAACAAGCTGCCCCACTGCCCCAGATGCAGCCGACACAAACACAAACTCGTTTTTCTTAGGGACACATACCTCGTAAAATCCAACATAAGCTGTGAAGCCCGGCATGCCGAGGAGACCTAAGTAATAGGACAATGGCATGTCATTTGGCTCCACTTTTCTCAACTGTGGTGATTCATGAATTAAACTGTACTCTTCCCAACCTGTGAAACCAGAGACTATATCCCATGGTTTGAAATTCTATGAAGAAGATGTATTTATCTCTTATGAAATGTTTGGTTATTGCTAGATTGTTTTGGTTATCAATCATCTTAAGTTGTTCCAGTGCTACAATAAGGTTTTATATGAGATTACACTTTCTTAATGTCTGTGTGCAATGAGCTAAAGAGAAGTTCTCCCACGATTAATGTGAATAGAGGCCATTTAAGATTATTGATGAAGACTGATAGGAACAGAATACTCCAACTCAGGGAAGAGGTCTTGGAATTGCTTAATTTAGATCACTCGCGAGTAATGTGAACATCGGCCACTCAAGACGTAAGATGACTTTGAGAAAAGACTACTCTCCAACTCAGCTAAGAGGTCCTGGAAATGCTGGATTTCCCATTACATCAGGTGGAATTTTCGAACTGGAGATGATAAAATCAATATGGAAAAGCAAGCACAACTACCAGCCAGAATATCTCATAGGAAAACAATGTATTCACCGAGGAAAAAAGAAAGAAAGAAAAAGATAAAATGCAAAGGAAAAATGATAACTTGAAATAACATCAGATAGGAACCAACAGTCCAAAAAAAGCAACAACAATAGACCGAAGAAACTGCCATACACCAGACACATACCATGAAAGAGACAGGAACCAACAGTACCTAAGCAGTCCAACAACACAAACAAACTAATCATTACTATTATTTATGGGACCATCAAGCAACACAAAATTAACTCATTTCATGTGCAGAAAATAAAATATGAGCCTGATAAATTAACAGTGTTGGAAGTAGAAGTGGTTGGTTGGGAAATCTAACAAGGCACGAATGGAGTGAACCACTTTGGTCCACAAGTTGTTTTGGCGCTCTGCACGTCGGTAGGGTAAAAACAGGGTGAGGGGAAAAAGTCCTTGCGTTTGTAATCAAAGATACCAACATCATGGCCACCGCACATGAGGTTGATATGTATCCACTGTGGCGGCTCCGTGTAATAAACAGAATCTGGCTTCAGTCCAGGGCACTCGGCAGCCGGGAGTGCAAACCCATTGTTGGTACCAACGAAGAATGCTAGGCCGTCGAGTGAGCCGTCCATGTAAACCAGGGAACCCGTCTCCGGGTCGTACTTGTGAACATCAAAACCCATGGAGACATAGGGAGGAGGATCCTTAAGCATACCCACCTTGGGGCCATAGTAGGAATCTACCGCGTAGTAATCCTTAGGACCCATCCAATCCTTCACAAACCGCCTCACATGAAAAAGCTGTCCCGACGCCTCTGCAACTACTAGGAATTGGTAATCACAGCACGAATATCTTTTGTACTCGTATTCCTCCTTGCAGCTGTGGGCTACGGGGTAACACTTTTTGTCCACACAAACGGGCATGGGAATCATGGTTGGGGAAATTGGGTCCTGAAGATCCCATGCCTCCAGATGAGGATAAAGCTCATCATCATCTTCATCATTTTCTTCATCCTCCTCCTCTTCACCATCACCATCACCATCATCCTCATCATCTTCCTCACAACCATCACCATCTTCCTCCTCCTCCTCATCATCATCATCATCATCTTCCTCATTATCCTCATGGCTACTACTTTTGCTGGCAAAACAAAAGAAGCGCTTTTGTGAAGTGGAGTAGGCAACGGAGGTGTAGCCGGTGCGTTTGCCGAGTTGCGTCCACTCGGACCTCGTGCGGCTGTTGGGGCAGCAGAAGGCCAAATTGTTTTCATAGCCGAGAATAGCGACGGCGCGACAGCTGTCGTCCTCATCGGGATGGGGCCCGGACAGGACGAGGCTTGTTACGGAGGAATAATATTTGGGAAGGGGTGGGAGATTTATGCGGCGTTGAGTGAGTGGATTATAGAGGAAGATGCCGCCGCCGCCGCCCTCCCTGGAATGGTCAAACATGGATAGCCAGCCGTGTGACGAACCCACAATCGACAAATTAGAAACAGATGATGGTGGTATTATCTCTTCTTCGTCTCTCCTGCTAATCACTTGGTTCTCGGCCAACTTGTAAAACTGAAAAACGAGATTCTTTTTGTTGTTATTGTCCAGGGCTGGTGGTAGCATGAGCAGTGGCGCCGCCGCCTTTGGGTTGCTACTGCCGCTACAAGTAACAGTCATCGTCGCAGCACAATATGTACGACGCAAAAGAGTCAGATGATGGCGTGATGGAGTCCGCCGGTTGATAAACGATAAAGATTTGGTGGCGGCGGCGGCGGCGGTAGGAGAACAAAGGGCTGCACGTACGGAGAAAGACATTAGAAAGGCGTAATTTGATTGTCTAATAAAAAAAAAAACACACATGGAATATATATATAGTGGTGTTATATCGCCCTAGTTCTAGTGCTTACTTAAGAATTATTATTATTGACTTCCAGAATATCACCTGCCTTACTTACGGACCCGACTCAGTAAATTAAAAAAACGCAGCTGAAGTGTTCGACAAATTGCCTTACAGAGAGCATGTTGGTTTATGAAAATTTGTTGTTTTGTTTGGATTTTTTAGTTTGGTTTGATTAATCTATATCTATAGTAATATAAAGAGGTTGTTGGAAAAATATTTTTATAGTAAGTCTGACTAAAAAAATAAATGGTCTGACTTACTATTAGTAAAAATCTCGAAAAAAACACATAAATCTCTTGGGTATCAAATTTAATTGAGATATGTCAAAAAAATTGGAGATTCTTATGGTAACAAATTTGGAGATTCTTATATCAAAATTTAATTCATTTCTTAAATATTAATCTCATATGAATCTATTTTTATTGGTAACAAATTTGGAAATTCTTATGCCAAAAAATTGAGATTTTGAATTGAGATATCCCAACAATTACAGATTTTTTTTCCATTCAAATTAATGTTATAAATCAAACAAAAAATTGTTCCGAGAATAATGGATGATATAGTAAACATTGATAAACTCCAATCGTCCATAAGTTATTTATATTTATGAATTTTGTGTGTAAATATATTGAGTTGCTTTTTGTATATCTATTACTATATAATAGAGAGAGGTATTTTCTTGACATAGTATTGAAATTCACACATACAATTTTCAAATTATTATTCTTAGTATTTTTTTACTTTTTTTTTTTGGAAATGGCGGCTAAATGAAAATTCGAGCTCAATTTCAAAAATTTATTATTTGATAAAGATATTGTGTGAACCTTAATTCCTAAAAACATGGTCATAATATTGACCATAGAGATTCCTAATTGGTTTATGAAAATTTTTGGTTTTGTTTGGATTTTTTGGTTTGTTTTGATTAATTTTGAAAAAGGTGGTATGGTTAGATGTTAGTGGGTATATTGAAATAATATTTAAAATAAAATAATTAAAATTGATTTGATGTAAAAGTAGGAAATAGATGATTTGAAGTGATAGTTAGTTAAAATAATGTGAGTGGATGAATAGTGAATTAAGGTTGTTGTGATGTGTATGAATGATTGATTGATATTATTTAATTATATTGATAATAGTGGAGTTGAGTTAAAGTTGAGTTAAAAAAAATGGTTGAGTTAAAATGTTGGAAATTTTTTAAAAATTCTTGTAAACAAACATGCTCTAAGTACTCCGTCTACCACCACAGTATGTCCGATAGCATGGGATTCCCGCCGGGAAATCCCTCTGGAAAACCACCAGACCCGACTACCACATTATTCCCTTCAATACAGGAGGCATATGTTGCTTCGTCCTCGAAGGACATGTCATCCAAAAAACGCCGTTCAGAAGAGACCCCCAAAACTCAGGCAAATACAACTATCTCAGGGCTGTCGGAGAATATCCCAACCCCGGAGGCACCACAAAAATCCTTCCGAGACATGCTGAATAAGAACCGTCCCCATGTCGAAATTCCCCAAACTTCAGATAACAATGCGGAGGACCCGAATATCAAGGCTGAGTTTAATGGCCGCCTTGCTCGCATCCTCCTTCCTGACCCTTTCGTGGACAACCTCCTACAGGACTGGAAACATGCGGTTGTGGTGCGTCTCTTTGGACGTACCATATCCCCTTTGACATTACACAACAGACTTTCGGCACTTTGGCCAGCAATTAAAGGGGAACCGATAATTGATTTGGCGAATGGCTACTTTGTTATTCGTTTTAGCACATCCGAGGACCAACTAAGCGCTCTGACAGGTGGCCTTTAGGTAATCTTTGACCACTATCTTCATGTCCAACCTTGGACCGCCGATTTCAACGCTGATGATATACGAGTCAATAAAGTCGTAGCATGGTGTCACGCCCTTATTTCTCATGCGCGGGCCTTCTCGGGTCAAAGGAAGCGGGACGTGACAATGGGCTCGCCTGCCGGGGCTACCAGTACGCTTATACAATACAAAAATCTTTCAGCACATAGGCAGGGTCATTGGTAAGGTAGTCAAAATTGATTACCAAACGGCGGCTCGAATCAGAGGCAAATATGCGCGCATAACATGTCTACTAGACTTGACAAGACCCTTTTGTGCGGGATTCGAGATAGGTGGGTGCGTCCAGCGGGTTGAATATGAATCATTGTCGGACATTTGCTTTACCTGCGGCATGTACGGTCACCAAGCGGCTAGCTGCCCCACCACGATAAATGATGATAGAACTAACGAAGGAGGTCGGCCCTTAGCCGAACAACAACATGACTCGATGCCAGAAAAACCACTGTCGACCCACAGAGCTTTGGACCTGGCCCGTGGACAGCCGGCTGTGCGTGCACAGCTGGAAGCCAACTAGTGAAAATATAAAAGACACTATATTGCGATAAGTGGCATACTTATTTGCTTGACATTTGGCATTTTCGAGAACAATTACTTGAATACCCTTTTTTGAACCAAGACAAAATCAATATCCCACACTAAGGTTGAAGGTCAATAAAGGAAATTGGATATACATTGTATTTTTGAACGTTTTGACACAAATGCCTTTATGCATTCAACTTTTTGGGGTTGTAAGGGTCATTTTATGTGTATCTTTCTTCTGCGAGCTTCTTGCGGGATTTGCTCCCTGAATATCTGTTGGCAGACGTGCTCTTTTAGACAAAAGAAAGAGTGGGGAGAAAAGCAATTCATTCTCTACCATTTTCAAACTCAACTGCTATTCACCGCCCCCCTATTACTACTCACCGCCCCCCCAATTACGTTTTTGCCCTTCACTCTGTCTCTACTCTATCTCTCTACTCTTTCCCTGATTTTCTACGGTTCTTTTGACCGTAAAAAAAAATTCGAAAAAATGCCGAAAAAATGCCGAAAAAATTTGAAGATTGACAATGTATTTTTTTTTT